AGGCACCCACCACACTGCCCAGCTATTTTTTGGTTGCAATTGTCATTGTTGTTTTAGCCAGCACGGGCCAGGTTTAAACCCTCCAGTCTTGGTGTATGTGGCCAGTGCCCTAAGCACTGAGCTACAGGTGCCATCCTTAACCACATTTTTTAATCCCAGTAATAAATGTTTATTATAGACAGTTATCATCTACAAATAAGTAGATGATAACAAAGGAACATAAGAAAAAATCTCTCAATTCTCATAGGTAACTACTATTGAAATTTGATACATAATTTTTCAGGGTTTTAATCTGTATTAAATCAATTTCTCATAGTGGCTGATTTTTTAATTTATTAGATGGTTTTTATGTAAGATGAAGATTTTTTTTTTTTGTACAAAAGTTTTTTGTACAAAAGGAGGAGGGAGGCTGCAGAGCAGCACTAAGGAGGAGAGAAAAGAGAAGAGAAAAGAGGGGAGAGAGATAAGGAGAGAGTGAGGAAGAGAAGAGAGAGAGAGTAGAGTAGAGAAGAGCCGGGGGGAGAGGTGGAAAAGAGAGAGAGTAGAGAAGAAAGGCAAAGAGAGGCGGGAGAGAGAGAGCAAGATGAAGATTTTTAAAGTAAAATAGTTTTTAGTTTGGATGAGATTATTAGTATATTGAAAGGCAAAAATATATGTTGGAGAAGATATTGTTTCAGTATAATCTCATAGTATTTGTTATGCTTTAAATACTTTTCAGTGTAACCATTCAAAACCAATAGCATTTGAAAAAGACAAATTTCATGGGGCAGTGCCTGTGGCTCAGTAAGTAGGGCACCAGCCCCATATACCAAGAGTGGTGGGTTCAAACCTGACCCCAGCCAAGCTGCAACAAAAAAATAGCTGGGTGTTGTAGCAGGTGCCTGTAGTCCCAGCTACTCTGGAGGCTGAGGCAAGAGAATCGCCTAAGGCCAGGAATTGGAGGTTGCTATGAGCTGTGACACCATAGCACTCTACCAAGGGCAATAAAGTGAGACTCTGTCTCTAAAACAAACAACAACAAAAAAAAAAACCAGTTTCACTTAGTAGAATACTTTTGTGATTCTTAGGCCGAGCTCTAGATTTTAAAATATCTTTCAAACTGAAGGATAGTTTTTCCTATCTACCACTGAATAACTTAAATAATTTTATGGTTGTATGAATCTTTATTGCTTCATGTTTTATTTCCTTAAGAAATTTTTTGTGCTTTGCTAGGTACCTGCTAAAGATGATGATGAATTTTGCAACATTTGGCAATCCTTACAGGGATCCAGTAAAATTCAGCACTTTCAGTCAACTATACAAGAGAAGGTTAGTATTCTTTGTTTTGTTGAACAACAAATAATGTAAATAAATGGTATTTTATAAGGTTATATTTAGAATGTGATGGTTTTTTTCTTTTTAAGGGTCCCTGAACCAATATTATTTTTTATTTTGAGCTTCCCCATTCAGTAGTAAAACATATCCTTTCTCTGATGCATTTTTTTTTTTTTCCAATTTTTGGTTTGGCCAGGGCTGAGTTTGAACCCACCAACTCTGGCATATGGGGCCAGCGCCCTAACCCTTTAAGCACAGGTGCCGCTCCACTGTGATGGGTTTTTAATGAAACCTTATGAACTTTTTTTTTTTTTTTTTTTTGAGACAGAGTGTCAAGCTGTCACTCTGGGTAGAGTGCTATGGCGTCACAGCTCACAGCAACCTCAAACTCTTGGGCTTAAGCAGTTGTCTTCCTTGGCTTCCCAAGTAGCTGAGACTACAGGCCCCTGCTACAACACCCAGCTGTTTTTTTTGTTGCAGTTGTTATTGTTGTTTTAGTTGGTCGGGGCTGTGTTTAAACCTGCCACCCTTAGCATATGTGGCCAACAGCCTACGCCACCATGAACTTTCATAATTTTTTTTTTTTAGAGACAGAGTCTCACTTTGTCACCCTCGGTAGAGTGCCATGGCGTCACAACTCACAGCAACTTCCCACTCTTGGGCTTAGGAGATTCTCTTGCCTCAGTCTCCCAAGTAGCTGGGACTATAGGTGCCTGCCACAATACCTGGCTATTTTTTCTTGCAGTTTGGCTTGGGCCAGGTTTGAATTCACCACCCTCGGTATAATGGGGCCAGCTCCCTACTCACTGAGCCCTAGCGCCCCCAACTTTCATAATTATTTTCATACATATGGAAAAATTTTTGGTCCAATGAGTAAGAATATAGATGATTTTTCTTTTAAATCAGTTGGGAGAGGGAGTTATTTATAAAGTCATAATATTTTAAGTTTAACAAAGGCCTTAGTTGCTTTTATTTATTTTTTTCTATTTAAATGTATAACTTTATCTGGCAGTTGGTTACCTTAAATATAAATGAGCAAATTCATATTCCTTGATAGAGATTAAAAGAGAAGAGAAATGCTGCTCTCTGAGTAGAGACTCAGACAAGGAAGAGGAAAAAGAAATGAGGTCCCACTACATTTTTAGCTACTTAACTATCTTAGCTTAGGTCAAAAAGAAGTGTGGTATCAAATTTATAAAATAGTAGCCTGCACCATCAGAGCCTCATTTATTCTAATGTCCTACAAGGATGGTAGCATTATCAGATACTAAAAGGGTAGCAATTTTTCAGGAGAAACTTACAAAGGGAATTATCGTAAAGTAAACATAAAAAGTGAGGATGATAAGGTACACAGGTCTCTTTTGCTAGTTATCTGTTATAAATTTTCCTTAGACCATCCATAAATCCTTTCTACCTAAATATAATCCATATTGAGAATGTCAGACTCATTCTTCTAGAATGCTTCATTATTATTCATTGAGCACTTATTGAGTGCCTACCATGTGACAAGCATTGTTCTATGCAGTGAGAATATAGCAGTAAACAAAAGGAAAATCCTGACCCTCATAAAATTAGTATTCTAAGGAGGAAATTCCAACAAGATAAATTACATCACATATTAGAAGATAATAAATATGTTTGAGAAAATCTTCAGGGAAGGAGGAGAGAGGATGGAATGATCTGATTACAATTTGAGCAGAGAATTGAATGAAGTTAGTCGAGTTTGTAAATATCTGAGGGGAGTGTATTCCAGACAAATTCAAAGGCCTTGTTGTGGGACCATCCTTGGCATATTCAAGGAAGAGAAAGAAGACCCACTGTGGCTGAAGCAATAAAATAAGTTACAGAAAATGTGGTTAGAAAGGTTATACATTGATATTGTGAGTGACTTTCCAGGCCATTATAGGGACATTGGCCTTTACTCAGTGAAATGGGGAATCAGTAGCAGGCTTTGACCAGCACAGGGATGTGATCTCTCACTTCTTTTTTTTTTTTTCTTGAGACAGAGTCTCCAGCTGTCACTGCTGGTAGGGTACAGTGGCATCATAGCTCACAGCAACCTCTAATTGGGCTCAGGTGATGCTCTTGCCTCAGTTTTTCTATTTTTAGTGGAGATGGGGGTGGGGGGGTCTCAGTTTTGCTCAGGCTAGTCTTAAACTGGTGAGCTCAGGCAATCTACCACCGCAGCCTCCCAGAGTGCTAGAATTACAGGCATGAGCCACTGCGCCCTGGCACGATCTCTGACTTCTAATTCAGGGGGATCACTCTGGCTGCCATCTTGAGAATACAGTATAGAGGAGCTGGAGTGGAAACAGATTAGTTAGGGCACCATAATTGTCAAGGTGAGAAGTGATAGATATCTGGACCAGGATAGCAGGGGAGAATTATATATAATTCTAGATATATCTGGAAGAGATTTCCAGCTGATGATGAATTGGCTATAAGAGTAAAAGAGAAAAGAAGGAATAAAGGATGTGATTCTTAAGATCTCAGTGAAAGAGCAGATTGGCTATTAACTGAGATAGAAACAATTCCATGTCAAGTAAGGTTGTGAGGGGAGATGAAGAGTTAATTAGGGACATGGTAGGTTTGTGATGTATATTAAATATTCAAGTGGAGATACAGAGTTGGGCATTTGAGGTCATGGAGGACTTGTAAGCTGAAGAGTGAAATTTGGGAGTTATCATGTATCAGTATCCATCTGTATGTATATATTTGTGTATGTATCTATATTTATCTAAAGAAGTAGATGTAGATAGAGAAGAGGTCCAATAACTTAGCCTGAGCGTAATCCATCTATACAGAGCCTAAGAGATTAGGTTGCACTGACAAAGACGACAAACAATGGCCAATGAGACAGGAGAAAAATGAAGGAAAGGTGGTATTCTGATCTCATGTAAAGAATGGGTATAAGAAGAGTAGAGTGATCAATTTTGTGGAATGCTGCTGATGGATCAATTAACATGGGAACCAAGAATTAATCATAGGGCTTACCACAAGAAGTTCATTGGGAATCTTCAAAGAATAATTTCAGTATAGTAATGAGAATGAAAGATTGGAGTAGGCTTAAGAAAGGAAGGGAAGAAATTAGAGGCAGCAAGTATAGGTAATTCTTTCAAGGAGTTTTGCTCTAAAAGAAAATATTGCCCTGTGTCCCTTCTTGCCTTTATTTATTTGTCCAGGAGTTATTAGCATAACTCCTGCTCTTCCAACCTTTCACTAGGGACTGCTCCCCTAAACTCAACAACAATTTTCTTTTCCATTTAGCTGAACTTTGGCTCTTACCTCTCTGCTAAGTACCGCCAACCTCTGGATCAAGATTTAATCCAATTTTCTCCAGCTTTCTAGAAGACAGATATAGATGAATATTGCGTAATCACCCCAACCTTAACATGTCTTAGAATTGACCTCACCCAAAGCCTCTTATCCTTGTTTCTTTTTTTGAGACAGTCTCACTTTGTCACCCTGGGTCTAGTGCCATGGCATTACAACTCACAGCAACCTCAAATTCTTGGACTCAAGTAATTCTCTTGCCTCAGCCTTCCAAGTAGCTGGGACTACAGGAACCCACCACAACACCCGGCTATTTTTAGAGATGGAGTCTTGCTCTTGCTCAGGCTGGTCTTGAACTCCTAAGCTCAAGCAATCCACCTGCCTCAGCTTCCCAGTCTTATCCTTATTTCTAACACCACCATTTTCATGGGCATATATATAATCTAAAAAGCTTAGAGTGAAAATTTTTTCTTCTAAATATTTTTTGCAATGAGATCCTAAATCTTCCTACTCCTCCTTACATCCCAGAAATGGACTTCAGACTGTCCTCCTTAGCGTAGATTGGCCTCATATTTATCGTGTCTGTTTCTTACCTCTTTCACTTAACTACTGCCTACTTAATGGTTCTGAAAGACCTTTTCACCTGTGTTAGCCTCAAGACATAATTGGGTAAAACATTTCCTAGATTTGAACTCAGTTCATGCCCTAAAGCAGTATGGTATGATAATTATGGTATTTTACAGAATCAGGAAATTAGGTTTTAGTTTTGGTTTTGGTTTTGCAGTTTTGAACCAGGGCTGGGTTTGCACCCACCACCTCCAGTATATAGGGCCAGCACCCTACTCCTTTGAGCCACAGGCGCTGCCCAGGAAATTAGGTTTTGTGACTCACACTGAGCAAATCTATTTCCCTGGTCCTCTGTGGGCTCATGTATAAAATGAAGGCATTGGCCTTAGATGACCTCTGACATCTTTTCCAGACCTAAAATAGTGTTGTTCCAGTACTCTAGAATGTATAGGGCTCCCTGTTTAGCACTACCAGAATTGAATTTCAGTTCCTTAGACTAATATCTAATGCCTTCTATAATCTAATTCTGCCTAATTCACATAAAGTATGTTCAACTGTTTGGTAAAATAGTCTGTTCCAGTCAGATTAGTGTCTCTACGTTCCCTTTTCTACAAAGAGATGACTCCCATTTTGGTTTATATGTTCTTTCGTTTGTTTCTTTTTTTTGTTCCTTCTGAGAATATTCTTTCTAATCTCACTATGAAAATTTCTCTAGGTCTCAGTTAAAGTCTGCTATTTCTTTGATAACCTCTTGATTTTCACATAGTCTTCTGTATGCAACTCCTATTATTTAAAACCGTAATATTTGTTTTCTAATTAAATTTTTAGAAATTTAAAACTTTTCTCTGAAATGGTACTGTGCACATGAATTTTGGAGTTAGAAATCAGATGTCACCTTTCCTATTACTTACTTCTGTGGCCAAATTACTTTATCACTTGAGCCTTTTATGTGCTCATCTATAAAATGGAATCAAAATATACTATAGCGTTATTATGATGATAGCATTGCTATAATAGTATTAAGATAATTGATGCAAAGTTCTTTCTACCATGCCTGGCACATAATAGACACTCACATGATATTTGACTCTTTTTTGTCATTGTCTTTTGGGACATTTTTCCGTTTTTTCTCTTTTAATTTCAGGATATTATGGAGGTACAAATGTTTTGGTTATATAAATTGCTTTTGCTCAGTTTGAGTCAAAATTATAAGTGTGCTCATTTTGACTTTTAAAGACTAATGAGCCTGGAATGTTTTCCTGTATGTGTGAGCTCATGTGGAACCCTCACATTATAATACATATCATAACTGTTTTGGAGTATGCCCACTGCCAGCTAGGACATCTTTTTACTCAATGTTCATTTGTCTGTGCTAAGAAGAAATTAGGGCTTGGCAAAAGCAAAATTGTGAAATAATTAATTTTTTTTTTTTAAGAGACAGTCTCACTTTATCTCCCTTGGTAGAGTGCTGTGGCATCACAGCTCACAGCAACCTCCAACTCAAGGGCTTAGGTGATTCTCTTGCCACAGCCTCCTGAGTAGCTGGGACTACAGGCGCCTGCCACAACGCCCACCCAGCTATATTTTGTTGTTGTTGTTGCAGTTTGGCCAGGGCCAGGTTCAAACGCACCCTCCTTGGTATATGGGTCCAGCACCCTACCCCCGAGCCACAGGCACCACCCAAACTTTACTTTTTTTTGTTTGTTTGTTTGCAGTTTGGCCAAGGCTGAGTTTGAACCCTCCACCCTTGGTATATGAGATCAGCACCCTACTCACAGGAGCCACCCTTTTTTTTTTTGAGACAGAGTCTTACTATGTCACCCTTGGTAGAGTGCTGTGACAGCACAGCTCACAGCAACTTCAAACTCTCGGGCTTAAGCAATTCTCTTACCTCAGCCTCCCAAGTAGCTGGAATTACAGGCACCCACCACAACGCCCAGCTATTTTTTTGTTGTAATTTGTATTGAGCTTCTCTGGCCACCACTTTTTCTTCCTCATGTTGCTTCAAATATGGCAGATTGACTGTCTCTTATTACCGTCAGGGTTTCTCTCCCTATTAAAAACAAAAGGATCTGATAGAATCTTCTTTTTTTTTTTTGAGACAGAGTCTCACTCTATCACCCTGCATAGAATGCTATAGCATCATCATGGCTCACAGCAGCCTCAGTCTTTTAGGTTCATCTGCTCCTCTTGCCTCAGCCTCCCAAGTATCTGAGACTATAAGCATCCACCATGACGCCCAACTAGTTTTTCTATTTTTAGTAGAGACAGGGTCTTGCTCTTGCTGATGTTGTGAGCCTAAGCAGTCCACCCGTATTGTTGGTGTGAGCTCCTATGCCTGGCCTAGAATCTTTATATGTACGTGAAACTTATTCATGCCATTTTCTAATTGTATCCATTTATGAACTATCTCAGTTACTATAACTTTATAATCAGACTGCATATCTGAAAGTGAAATTTCCGCTCATCATTTAAAAACCTTAACAATATAAATAACAAAAATCAAGTATTAGGAAAAGGAACATGTAAATGGACTAATATCTGTAACTTTCATAACAGTCAGAAATGATTTTTGAAGCTTTTTAATGGAAAATTTTAAACATAATGAAGTCAAGAAAATAGTAGCAATAAACCACAGATACTGAGACTTTGCTTTCCTTCTCTAATCCTATTTCTTCTATAGCTCATACTCACTTCCCACACCTACCCAAAAAGTGGGACTATTTTAAAAAACATCTAGAGGAATCTTTAGAGACTAATATTTCTATTATGAAGAAACAGTTACCTAAAGTTTAATATTTTTGTTAGTTTCTTTTTTTTTTTTTTTTTTTTTTTTTTTGAGACAGAGCCTCAAGCTGTCCCCCTGGGTAGAGTGCCGTGGCATTACAGCTCACAGCAA